ATCAGTGTGACTCTGCATCAGCATCTGCATTCATTCTGTGAATGCCCCACAGAACCACGCTCAGGGTCTCTCCTGGGGTCGCGGAGAGGCGTCTCGGACAGAACAGCCTCTGCTTTTGAGCAAAGAGGAAAATGATAGGCCAGGTTTGTGGGTTTCAACATCTCAGTGTGGGAAACAGAAGAAACAGAGGAAATCCTTCAGCTGAGAAAGTGCATTCAGCGCCTTCAGAGCACAAAGCAGAGTCCTGTATCCAAGCACAATATTTGCTGGTTACTGATTGCTAAAATGTAAATGCACATGTACACATACCACATGTCCAAACCTTGCCTTCTGCCTCTTCACCTCTTAGATCTTCCTGCTTAACTTCCCTTACTGTCACTTAAAATACAGTATTCTGTCCTACCTAACAGCTCATGTGGTCTATATCCCTGCATCTCTTCAGGAGACCTCATAAGCTGTTTCTGCCTCTGGTGGTCTCAGAAGCTGCCCTGGCTGCCTTGTCCACACTCGTGTAGTGCCCAGTTAGGTCACAATCCCACCAAACACACAGACCAGGCTTCCTTTATCAATCTGGTACATCTCCTTCCCTTGCAGTACTGTAATGTTCTGGTCTGGATTTTGTAGGTCTTGGTAGCAACAGAGTCTAAAAGAGAAGGCCTGAAAGTAGCCTTATAATATATTTTCCCCCCATTGTTCGGGAATTTCAAGATCCAACTGGAAGAAGCCATGATCATCGTGGCCAGATCACGGCTGGCTCTGCTTTGAACAGGAGGTTGTGCTGGAGACCTCCCAAAGTCGTTTACAGCCTTTATTATCCTGTAGTCTTACTAGCTGAGGAATCTGGGTCGCCCACATGACAGCAAAATGCACTGTGCAAAAGACAGCATCCTTTCAGTGTTTGTGGTTCCTTCTTCTCCAAAGCAGGGCAGCACTGTTAACATGGGAAGGAAGGTCACTTGGCTTCCTAGCTTATGCAAACAGCCCCCCCTGAAAATCCTCTTACACTCTTGGATGCTTATGGCAGCCATCCATTAGAGAAAGCTGCAGGACAGACAAGCAGCAAGGCAGATTTGGCTTTCTGAGTGACAAAATTTCCCATTTGCTTCTGTGATATTTGGGAAAATAGGACTCCAATAAAATCACTGAAACAAAACATGACTTGCCCATGCCACAGCAACCCCAGACCCTCTGACCCAATTTTCTTCTTATGGAAACAGTTTAGCAAATCTCAGTCATCAGCTATCTGCCTGGGCCAACGAAGCAGAAATACTAACAGTCTGTTTTATCTTCTGCCTTATCTGAATCTACATTTTCTTTCTTAATTTTTCTTCCCTAAAACACTTCAGATATTGCAGTTGTTTATGTAACTGGCCATCTTTCAAAGGCCAGCCCAAAATCTGCTAAATCTGCTAAGGAACAAGGGAATTACAGAGCTTCCTTGCCAGGTGTCAAATGACAATTAAGGCATATCCTTTTTAAACTGGGCTAGAAGAAAAGAACATTCTTTGATATTTAACGGGTTTACACAGGAAGAATGTAAGGTCTTTGTGTAGATATGTACGTGCACATGTGCACTCTGAATTAATTTATTACTCCATGATACAACATGTTGCTCAAAACAGATGTGATATAGTGCATTTATTTTTCAGACCGAATTCACATGACTCTTTTGTGTGTTACTATCAAAAAATCAGGCACTTCTCCTTACCATTGAGCAATTCTGATTATATGAAACTCACTAAAAAAGTAAACCATGCAAAAACAACCTTCAGTTTGTATGATTTAAATTTTTGCATTGCTGGACCATATGTCAAAAGACAGCCCAAATAAGTGGTGAGGACTCTATATTCAAATTTTTCAGGGAGCTCTGTGGTACCCAAGTGGTTACTAAAGAATATATACAACATATACTAAGAATATATACAGTATATACTAAAGAATATATACAACAGTTCACATAGAAACTCTGACCCTGAGTATTTATGTTACCTCAGCAGGGGTGGCTCAACCCTTAGGCCTAGAGAGCACAAATTAGTGTCAAATAAATTTAGCAATGATGTAAAAAACAACCTCCTGTGGGTACCAATGTCTGGTGTATGACCCCTGTGCAACGTAACAGGTATGTTCTCATGAATTATCTATATTTTTCCTGCTATTTTTCTTCATTCTATATAGAGCCTGGGTGACTCTCAGTCTGCCTGTACTGATTTCATTGAGGGAAAGGCAATATGCCTTGATAGGATGAGTTTTATGCATTCTTCAGAGCAACACAGAAGTTCTCTGTTTCTAACAGCTTCATCCGTGTTTCTAAATCCTGGTAGCTCTGTCTCCATCTTTTTCCTCTTCAGCAAGTCATTGTCAGTATCACTTCTAAAAGAAAGTAAAGCAGGGAGAAAAACCAAACAAACAAACAAAGAAAAAACCAAAAAAAACCTGAGAACAAAAATCAGAACAACTAGACGTCTTGTCAAAACAGAGTAACATAATGTCTCATCTGCCCAACTCATTTTAATGGTGAGGGTAGGCTGGCACAAAGGAAGCAGAAACTGAGGAAGTGAACCAGGAGGGGAAAAGCAAAGGAGCAAGCAGTCAGAAAGTAATCAGTTGCTATCTGTGCGTGTCCAAGTGCGCATGTGCATGTGTTGAAAGCAAACTTTCTCTGCAAGACCAAACAATTAATGACCTTCTCCAATCTGAGCTGGTGTACAAAAAATTAGTGACTTATGATGACCCCAAATTACAAGGAGTTTACTTGCTTATAACCATGCATCAAATGAGTTACCTCATATAAGCAGTTTTCATTGTCATAAACTACTAACTAATGTCCACTTCATTTGGAAAAAAAAAAAGTGTTTCTTTCCTCTCCCTGTGTTTTATTGTTGCTGTCTTCTACACACTCCCATTTTTTGTTTTCTTTCCACATAAAATGGAAAGCAAACTGTACTAGTTTACAGAATATGCATCCTGAAAATGCTGCTTAGTGATTCACAGGGGAAGAACTGAAATATACCAGTAAACCCTGACTTACTCAGCCACACAATTTGTTTTCACTAGTCAGCAAAGCAGAATATTTCAAATGTTTTTATCAGCAATGTACAAATGTATGTGAATCTATAAATCCTTCCAAAGGATAGAGAAGGAAAAGAGGGCGACCTAGCTGGGGACTTCTAAGTTCTTGATTTCAGCAAGAGTGTGGCAAATGCCTGGCCTGAGTGACAAATTAATTTTTCACTTCACCAGGTATTTTTAAAAATCAAGATAAAAAAGTCAATATAGAAGAGGATATTGTGAAAAATTTCTTCCTGAATTAGAACATGAGAGGGAATATTCATCCTGGGTCAAACTGTTCCATTGCAGCAGAACGAAATACTTAGTTACTTTTTTTTGATATTTTATGTTTTATATTATTTTGGAGGAAAGATGAAATGGATTGAAGAACTACTTTTCAACAGTTCATTTTTAAATTATTGCAATTAAGCCCTTTCAACTTAGTGATTGAGGGTGTTACATTTAATGGCAGTTCAGCAAATCACCATTACTCTGAGACTCTTAAGTATTTGCACACTTTAGGAGAATAAAATCTGCCTTTTTCCATCTGCAACAACTTGAGCCTCTAATACCTTTCCTTACCTCTAATGAAAAGTATTATCAGTAAGTGCCACAAATCTTTCATCATCATACAATTAAAAAGTGAGAAAAAATTTCCCAAGTGAGTGCCTAAAGTTAGAACCCTGCATCTGTATTTAAACACAGGAATTTCACAAGAAACTGAACCTGTCAGATCTGTCAAAGAAGCAATTCCTCCTTCTCTCCTCCCTACATCAATTTCTCTGTGCTATCTGCCTTGTGATTGGACAAGCATTAGTGGACTCCTGAGCTGATCAAGGCTGGAAAAGAGCAAAAATGTGTCCTGCAGTGTGGATCAGTGTCCTGATCCTTCACTTGAAAAGTGGTGGCAGAAAGGCAGGAGCAAGCAGCCATGGGTAAGGGAAGTAATGGGTGGTGCTGGTATGTCCCATTCAAGGAAACAAGGCTCAACAAGCTATGAGCAGCTACAGATCTTTTGGTAGACAAAGGAAGTTTTAGATAACTATCCCTATCCAAATGTATTAATCTTGGCTTATTTTATATATATTTTTTAATTTTTTTTTTCTTTCAAAAGTAAGAAAACAAAAACAGTGGCACACATAAAAGGAAGAGAGTGGAAGGAAAGAGGGAAAATTCCTGCATCTGCATAAATCATGTCAATTAAAGGAGGTTTGAGTTAAAGTAATGGAGAATCTAAGCTCTATAAAAGCATGTTCCAAGGCATAATCAACTCATCTTAACGTGTGAGGTCTCAGCTGCTAAGTCTTGACAAGAGAAATGAGAGTACTGAGTGTTTACTGCCTAGCAGAGTACATTTATTTCTAAACTGTATATGTATTTTGTTACACAAAGTCCCTGGGACCCCAGTGTCATGCAGTAACAGTAGAAAGCACAGATAGCTATCCCAAAGGAGAGTTGGCAAAATATGGGTTCAAGAGAAACTCCTACCACAACTGGTTCACTGCCAGTTTCCAAAAACTATTTGCAGTTTCATTGTCTGGAGTATGGAAACATTAGAATACGCTTATTCCTCTAAATACTACTGCATATTCATAGCTGTATCCTGCACTGTGATTTCTAAAATGAAAGTAAAAATCAGAGATATTATGGGAATTGAAGTGAAGGAATACTGAAGTATATTTTTAGTTCATCTGTATATGCTTTTGCAGAAGTGGATAAGATAATCACTGTTTTTCCTGTAAATAAATCTTTTCCTGTAAAAAAATTGTTTGTTTTACAAATAATTCATGGGTCTTTCATGTGTTAGGAAATCAGTTGTGAGTAATAGGAGACAAAGTTGTTTCTGATGACATTTGAAATACCAGTAAATATCTAGAAAGCTCTCTCTCATTTTTAACTAATTTTTATATTTTATTTTTGTGTGTATGTGCATGTCTGTATGTCTTCCACAGACTGGAACAGGAAATACAGAAATTAGAAAGTGAAGAATCACAAATATCTGCCAAAGAACAAATAATTTTGGAGAAACTAAAGGAGACTGAGAAATCCTTTGACAACTTGCAAAAGGTATTAAAAAAAAAAAGGGAGGCACTTGGGCACAGATTGAAACCAAGGTGTACTCTTAGCTCCATTTGGAAGCAGTAGTTATAATTAATGCACTTAAGGAAAGATTTAGGGCAGTTGCAGAGCACCTAGCTTAAAGGAGTATGAGCAAGACTAGAAAAGACACAGTGGCATCAGGTCTATTCTGGTTGGGTTTTTTGGGTTCTCCCTTGCATCCCAGCCTTTTTTTGAAGAGGAATTTCAGAGGCTATCTCCCTATCAGAAGGGAACCCACATGAGGTTTAAGGGGTATTTCAGCTCCCCTTAAAGATATCAGCAGGATGCTGAGAGTATTTAAAACTTCCCTGCTCTCATGGCATCCAGAGATAGTAGCATTTGCCAAAAATGCCACTCCAAAACATTACAGCCTGCAACAAGCAGAGCTCTTCATCTAGTTGCACCCTGTCCCCCTTCTCCAGTCTGTGATGGCACATAAATCCAAGGAGCAGCAATCACAGATACCCATTTAAAATTTCCAAAGAACCATAAAAGCAAGCCTAGCATAAAAATAAGATGTAAAGCAAATTAAACCCAAAATATTAAAGGCTTAACCAAACATCCTGTTTTTTCCCTTCACAGAGTTTCTCCCACCAGGATGGTGGTAAGTGCCTTTTTATTATTTTATAGCTTTGGGTTTAAATGAGTTGTTACTATAGCTTTGCTGCAAAGGTTTAAAGACTGGGTTTGTTTCCTTCATTGTGTGTTTCTGATTTCTTGCTAGAGCCATTATCTTTTCCTTTGGTATTTCTATAATGCAAGCACAAACGTCACTGTTGTGGTAAAACAGTATTGCTTTGGCAGAGTTCCACCCCTTCTTATGCTCACACAAAGGGAAAGAACAGCCTGAATAACTTAAAGCAGACATCATACAATTTCTGTGTTACTGACCCCTTTCAGCACGTGATAGCTCTGCACTGCAGACTCCTTCTCACCTCCCTGTGGTCAGTCTTCTCTGTTGTATGTGCTCATGCTCTGTTCATAACCAGCTAAATTATATGAGGACTATTCCTAATACAGAGGAACAACTAATAAAAAGAGATTATTTCACTGATGAGCAATATTCTCCACATGATGATTCTTGCAGAAGGAAAACCTCACTTGGTTGGATGAGGAGGAAGTAATCCCTAGCTTATTAACTCAGTGTCATACAAAGTGTGATCTGTACAAAGTGTAGCTATAAATTTAGGTGTCTGAGTAGATAAATAATAGGCATGGTTCCCAGGAAGCTGGAGAGACCCTTGTAGTGCCACCCCAGGATCCTTAGGACCCTGGAAGGATGTCATGCTAAGGCATCTGCAGATAAATATGAGCACCAGATACTCATTCTCAGTACATGTCTTTGAACTAACAAAATAATGAGGTTAAGACTACCTCCTCTAGCTGCTGCCAACTGTATTGTGAATGTAGATGAGGAACATGTAGGATGATCCCAACATGAAAACAATGGGATACAATGGAAGTTATGATGTAGTATTTGAGTTGACTTGGAGCTGTCTTTCCAGGTGATTATTATTACTTACTAAAGAGGGCTTTTTTTAAGTCAAAGACCTAGTTCAGAAATTTTTGCTCCTGCTAGCAATATAATCCATTGATTTTTGTTCAATGCTATAGTAAAAAAAAAAAAATCCCAGATAGTATGTTCCATTGTAACAACTTACTCTTCCTTCTCTCTGAAGGATTTGAATTTGGCTACCACAAAATGGTAATTGCAAATATTTTGTACCTATGCAAGGTTACACCGTGGTCATTAGTAAGATCCTTAAGTAGGAGCAGTGCCTGCAGGCATTAGCAACCAGGTGCTCAGGAGCTTCTATGACTCCTGCAAGGTGCAGCCTGCATCTTCACGTGTCTTTAATAGCAAAGGAACCAAAGGAAGCCCCAGCTAACAATTATGAAGTGGTAGTTTCCCTGAAGGTATGTAGCAATGTAGTACTTCATTAGGTTCAAAAGGAGCCCTCATGCTCTCCAGATTTTGCCTGCTTTCAGTAGATCCCTTCCTGACAGACTGAGCCAGAATTAAGGACAGCTTGTAATTTCTGAAAGATAACAAAGAACTTCAAAATGTGCCATAGGGAAGAGAGCAATTCGTGCAAGCAAAGAGAGCCCTCTCCTCTCCTCTCCTCTCCTCTCCTCTCCTCTCCTCTCCTCTCCTCTCCTCCCCTCCCCTCCCCTCCCCTTTCTCTTCTCCAGAGGAAAAAGGTAGGAGCCACTGGATAACCCAGGAAGGCTGTGTAAAACACAGACACAAACCAACAATGACCTGTTTGGACAATTTCTTCAGCTGCTGCCACATCATGAAAGACTCCCAGTTCCATACATCTCATATTTCTTTGTTCTGTGTCCCTTTATTGTAAATGCAGTGACACAAACAGTTTTTTAATCTCACTATTGTGTTCCTGTGTATAATTTTGTGGTGACAGAGATTTTGAGTGTGCAGGAAGCACTACTAGAAGATGTTCAGAGCCAGAGAAGCCCAAGCAAAGTCTATAAGGGAAGGGAAGAAGTGCTGGTGAGCACCAGTGACTGATCAGATGATGCTCTGGGTCCTTCACAGCTTTCATAGGAAAAAAGCGCTGCGTTTGGCAGTGAGAATCTCTGAGCTTGAAATCATCCAGGCACAATTAACACAAATTCTGTATTTGCCAGGGTAGAAACACACTGCCTTCATAAATCACTGTGTAAGAGAAAGTAGAGCAGAAATGCTGAGGCTGGGAGCTGTGGCCCTGTCACCTTCAGTTATGACTGTAGTGGCTTGCAGCTGACAAGCTCTCCATTAAACAAGGTCTGAGATGATGCTAGGCATTGCATCATTTGTTGGTGCTCAGGTCTGCAGTCAAAACTAGGCATGCTGCAGGGCTATGCTGCATGCACATCATGAACAAATGGAAAGGAGAGAGCTCTTGCTCCATGTGTGGATGTTTATTTCTCAATGTATATATAAAATAAAAGCCACATGAAGATCTGATGTAACTCCCTTGTCTGCTGAATTTGCCTTAGAGGCAAATGTATCCTCTGCAGTATTTGGCTGTTTGTATGCAAACTATTTGTTACTACTTCAGCCAACATACAGAAGCCACAGTTACATTAATTGGACAGTTTGCACAAGCCTCTGTTTGAATTTTGTATGTATTAGCATATATTTGGTCAAGAAGTGGTCTAGGAAACCTGACCAGTATTATTTAGTAACCAGTACATTATTTAGAGACTCTTCTGGTTTTCTGTCCTCTGATCCTGACAAGCTGTACAGCCCAAGAGCAAAACAGACCAGTGTGCCCTCAGAGGAGTCAAGTACAGCTCTTTGAAGAGTTCTTTCCGCATGTCCTGTAGAAGTTCATCAGCAATTGACTTTCAGCTGTAGGCTTTTGATAACCTTTAAATTCAGTCTCCATCAAGAGCTGCCACAATTACAGATCCTCTGGCTACCTGAGTAAAAACCATTTATCACCACTCTTGGAGTGTGACGTGTGAGTCAATTTCCTACCCATCTCACACATGAGTCTTGGCCAGGAGAGTAGTGTGGGCAACAGTGTCAAAAGCTTTGCTGAAGTCTAAATAAACATCATCCACTGCTGTCCCCATGTCAATAGAAGATGTTATTATGTTGTAGACGGTGATTAGTTTAGTCCATCATGATTTGTCCTTGGTAAATCCATTATGGCTTTTCCCAATCATCTGCTTTGTTTGCTTTGTAACGATTTCTAGGACGACTCATTCTGTCACTTGCCATGGGGACAAAGCATTGTGCCTCCAGTTTCTTGGGTCCTCTTTTGGTCCATTCCTGTGGTATGACATTTTTGTCTCTTCTAGTCATCAGGAACATCCACTGAACTCTGTATCTTTCGAATGTTATAGACAGTCTCCTTACAAAAATGTCAGGCATTTTCTCAGCACTCTTGGATGTGGATTTATGGACAAAAAAGGAGAAATCTGCCTTGTTACCATTGTTAGTGACTAGCTTCCCTGCACTACTTAAGCAGTGATCTTGTCTCTTTCCTTCTGCTTACTGCTCACAAATACTGAAGAACCCTTCTTGATATTTTTTGCCAGCTTTAGTCCTAGCTGATCCTTAGCCTTCCTGACTGCATCTCTGCATCGTCCTTGCAAGGTGCTTGTAGTGCCCAGTGGCCAGCTGGCTGCCTTTCCACAGCCATTATGTTGCCTTTTCTGCTTTTAATTACACCTAACAGTTTATTGTTAAGGCAGGGAAGTCTTCTGTTGAGATTTTTTCCTTTGCCTTTGTAAAGAATAGACCATTCTTGTGCCTTCAGCAGGCACTTTCAAATAACTCCCAGCACAACTCACAAACTCCTTTGACTTTCTTGGATGCTTCCAATGGAATCTCTCACAACTAGGCTCTTGACATATTAAAGTTGTCCCTTCCAAAATTTAAGATGTTCGTCCTACTACTGATCTTCAGTGTTCTAAGCAGGACCTTAAACTCTACAATGTTTGCTCACTGTGTCCAAGGTGTCATTGGTTACCAGTGTAAGTCAAATGAATTTTCTCGGCTTGCAAGCAGTAAATCTAGCAATGTGCTGCTCCTAGTCAGCATGTTCAGCATCTACAGGAATAAGGAGTCCTTAAGATACTCCACCAACTTGATGGCTGGCATGTGCACAGTTTGGGGTTTTTTCCAACAAATGTGTGGGTAATTGAAGCCACCCATGAAGACTGGCCTCAGTTGGCCCAAGACTTCACTGAGCAGCCACAGTAAGGTTTTGTTGGCTTCATCATCCTGACAGGGAAGCCGGTGCACAACACCCTCCTTAGTGATGACCCCTCTAATCATGATCCTAAGGCATTAGTTAAATAGAACTGGCATGGTCTCCACAGCTCTCCTCTATACACACAAATATCTCTGTCACATAAAGTACAACGCCACCTCCTCTTCTTCCTTTCTTATCTTTCTGAAAATATTATATTTGCAGGCATCCATTATGGTCTCCTCATCATGTGAACTTTCCTGCCACGTTTCTGTGGTTCTTCCAGCACCTCTCACACTGGGCACAAGGCTCTAGTTCCTCCTGCTTGTTGCCCATATTACATACATTGGTATGCATGCACTTGAGGTGGCTGCCCTTAGGCTTCTTGCCTTCAGTAAGGGTTGGGCAGCATTTCTTAGTGCTCTGATAAATGCACTCACCCACCACATTGCTTACAGATGTACAAGTGTCGGCTGTGGACCCTAACCCCCAAGCTTATTTAGGGCATGATTCAGTAAGTCAGAGCCAGACTATTCAGCTTCCAGCAAAAGCCTCCATTGATGTTCCTGCAAACATGATGGGAGGGCCAAAATCACTGTTCTTCCTGATGCAGTCCCATGCAGGCCCAGAGAGCTTTGTAGGTGGAACAGCCCTGTGAGCCATTATTTGCAGAAGATCTGTCACTAATTTAATGGTATGGGACTTTCTAAAGAGAATCTGTCCCTTGGAAAATTAATCCATCTGACTTTGATCACAAGACTCCGTGTGGGAGCTATTCAGAGCAGCTCTGAAGGTTTAGCTTTGTGTGAGCACCTTGAAGGATCACCTTGTCCCATATGCTTTGCCAAGCTCTTGTCTGTCTGGTAATCCAGAAGAGTGCCATACTCCAAAAATTTATTTTGTTGCAAGTGGTAAAAAAGACACAGAACTAGCTTTATGTCATCCTTAGATATTCAAAGATTGAAATGAAGATATTGAGTGCAGTCTGTTTAAATATTATTTATGTTCTGTCTTCTCACGTGAACAAAATGCTAATTTGTGTCTCAATCCATTCCTTGTAAAATTAGCCTCTTATATTCTTTTAAAGGTGCCAAATGAAAGAGTCCTTGTTGCCAGTGAGATAAAGAGAAATGAGTGTATTTGCTTTGTTTGGAGGCTGGATGGGGTAGGCAGCAACACAAGACAGGAGCTGGTAGAATCAACCAACTCCAGCTTATAGTCAAATACCCTATTTCTGACATGTGGCACCACCACTAGCTTCAGAATAACTATATGAGAATTGCACTGCCCTTCCAGCATTCCCTGCTCATGACAAGGACGGATTGGAGGCCTGAAGCTAATTTTTTAAATACTTAATTTTAATTAACATACAGACAAGTTTCTAAACTAATTCAATATTAGCAGCATCTGATGCTTAGCCTAGTACTGTCTCCCAAAGCAGGAGGCAAGGGGGGAAAGAAAAATCCAGCTTACTAAGGTCCGCAGATACCTACCACATCAAAGTGAGAGTGTCACCATCAGGCTCTACAACTGATTTTCCCTACTGCTCGATGTCAGCGATGTTAGTTCCCCCTATAAGCACTGGGGTAAAATAAATATTTGCAAAGAATTTTGCCTCCTGCAGTGTCCTTGCATGAGAACTGTACCCCAGCCATGCCTATTGATCCTCATGAACTGCAGAAGTAAGGATGATTAGTTAAGCAGTTCAAGCCTGCATTGATTATGACTTGTGACACGTGACACATCTGTCACTCAGTCACTGATGAGTGTGTACGGAAACTACTGTTCTGAAAGGACATTCTGTGGGATGAATAATTACTAAGTTTGTGCTATTTCCAGAACACCAAGTGCCGTCTTTCCCTGGACCAGAAACACAGTCCCCAGTTCTTTGTTCTCAGAAATTACTTCAGTTTTCAATAATGGCCTACTCATTTGCTGGTGATATTTCCCAGAGCAACAGCACCAAGCATTGTACCAGTTTCCCATTAGAGGAAAGTGACCCTGCAAAAGAAAGCAGCTGTTGCTGGCCAGTGCTCAGTCAGTTGTGTGTCTTAAACAATTATTTTTCCTAGATGCTACTGCTAAAAATACATAGCTTTGCGATACAGTGTGCATTGAAATTGTAAAAGTCCATTTGCCAAGTCTGCCATTTGTCCCCTGAAATATGAAATAAAAGACTATTTGCCTGGACAGGCTTGGGGATTTTTCCAATTAATCTGATACAAACTGAACTCATTTATATACTAAATTTGTGGATGGTTTAAATGAATTTATACTGTGCCTCTGTGCCTTACTTTTATGACACCAGAAGGGAGGAAAGAGGACTCCTTACCTGAGTTACCTACAGTGGTCTGCAGAGCAATGGAGTTTCATCCTGGGGTCTCATTTTTCTGCATCCAGTAGCAATGATGGCCACCACTGACTGCTATGGGAGTAAAACCATTTCACTTATATCAGGCCCAATTATCCTGCCAAAAAAGCTTTGGGATTAGAGGTGGCACATCATGTCCATCCTGATGACATTACCAGGCATAGGTATTTATCCTGGGATGGGCGTTAGCTCACAGGGAATGTGATGAAAGTATCTCCCTTAACCAGATGCAGTCAAGCAGGTTACCACAGAACTTTTCATTTTCTCTCTCATTTCACCATTTCCCTTTTATTGTCTGCCCTGGTCACCCTCTCTCACCTGCTTATAGCAACAAGAGGCTTCAAGGAACGGAGATTTTGCCTCCTACGCTGGCACATGGACTAGGCAGTACCAAGGGCTTGACAGATCTTTCATTGAACTGGCACCTCCTACCCTTGGAGGAAAAGGAATGGTCTGTTTCACACCAAATAGGATTTTATATTTGAACATAAATTTAATCATTTCCCTACAGAGCTGAAAACATTTCCAGTTGATAGGAAAGAATGTGATTTTTTTTTTTCCTCTCTTTTTCTTTTCTTTTCTTTTTTTTTTTTTTTTTTGTTTTGGTCTGGTGCCTCAGCTTTAAGACCTGAAGTCAGTTATTTGCACATCTCTCCTCTGAGCTCTGCTCTTAGCTCAGCCACTGAGTTCAAGCAGAACAATAAATGCTACTTATATTTTACCCACCCACAAAATATCTCCAAGGAAATACTTTTAAATTTATTAACATCTCTTCTAAAGTACACATTTAGCTTGTGATAAGCAGACATAATCTCAAATGTAAAACAAGTCAATCGTTTAAGATAGCTTTCTACTAATTCAGGATTTATTAATGAACGGTGACATTGCAGCACTGGCAGGAGCATAATACTTACTGAAAACCAAAACAGATTCCCTATCAATAACTATATCAGATTTCATTATTAGCTAAAGTTCAGCTTTAAGAACAAAAAGCGACGTTCTGATTCATTAATATTGGAAACAACTGGTACAAAAGAGCTGGTTTCTTATCCTATTCAGTCAGCACTAGCATTTTTAGGCTTTTATATCTCTATTTGAAATGTCATGTATTCTGGGTATCGCATTGGGTGTGTTCCTTACCTTTCCCACCCCACTCCCCATTTTAAAGCTCACCAACTTGATAAATCCAGAACCTCCTGACAAATAATTTTATGTGTTCATCTGACATAAGGTTTGAGTCATCTGGACCCATTCCCTCCTGCCTCAGCTAGTCTATTGAACACCAATCACAGGACAGTGACTTTGCACTTTGTTTGCTTTGATCCAATTATCTAGTACAAAGCTCCAGTGACTATTGTCAGGGCTGACAGCACTCTGCTGTCTAAGCAATGAAGCCACTGGGGCTCGTAGCACAAATCTAACTGTTTCCTGTTCTCTGACACCAGATGCAGTAAATTACATTTACTCCCAGATCCCTGAACTCCCAACCCTCTATTCACGAACAGCAGAGCCAGTTCCTGGGTGGGACGGATCAAGCAGAGTAGCTGGTAAGTCTCAAGGAGCAAAGTATTATAATATCAGTCCAATAGCCATGAACTCTTTTTGTTATATTACTTTAATGAGTCTGGTGTCCTGATATCATTTAAATGCCAGGAAATAGTGATTGATGTGTATTGTAAATAAGTCAAGGCTTTTTTGAACTGCAGTAATACTCTCAAAACAAGATAGCTGAACTATAATAAAAGTACCATAGGAAACACCCCCTTTTTTTTTTTTAATGTAGAAACATTCAGTTCTTTCCATCTCTCCTGGTACAAATACATAGTATTTAGGCCAAGGTTTTGTGTCCTCTCTTGTACCCATGCAACTCCAGACAAGGCACTCACAAGACCACATACATTCTTCAAATATTTATGTGTTTTTACTTCTTTGTATACCATTCTTTCTTCTTGGGAAAAGGTGGGTTTGTTTTGTGCTTGGAGCCATACAGAGAATTTTCTAACACTTATTTTTCAGGTTATATGTGTGTCTTAAATGTAACAAGACTGTTAGAAGCTGTACATTTTTATTGTTTTCAAAATTCTTGTTTTCTAAACAATGTACTCCCTATGTCAAGACTGAATTGCTGGTGGCTACCTAAGAGGTGTCCCAAGGAAAGGGATGAAAGGTGGCTTACTTGAGAAGTGGATTAACCAGCATAGCAAAGCAATGTCTACAGCTAAGGCACCATGCACAGCTATGAAATGTGTCATTTTTTCTATAAGTTCTGTTGCAAGCCATTCCAAAATCTTTCCTTCCACCAGTGCTTACCCTGATATGTCTTTATAGCAAGCTTTTCTGTGTGTTTTGTGCCATTTTGTCAACAACAAGAAAGTATGGATGACTCAGAAGCCTTGTTAATGTAGTCCTTGATAAATGTATCGTGTGTGCGCAATAGGTGTTCTTAAAGGTTGGCTGTAACCATCCATCTTAAAAGAGGCTCAAAGTGTAAGTAGATTTTTTTTTTTAAAGAAAAGCCTCTGAATCTACAAAACAGACAGAATCTAGATCCTTCTGTTGGCACATTGGTGTCTTGTCCTGAAGTGCTGCATCATGTTTCACTGTATTTAAAGCTTCTGCAGGAACTTGTACTTGTGAATACTGGCTGTCATCTTCAAGTACTGCTTTCAGTTCCAACTCTATTGTCACGTAGTTTTATATTCTATTAGTAGATCACATTTTGCAGTAAATATGCTTTGGTTAAAAAAAGACATTTTAGCACCAATGTTAGTTCATTTTGCAACTACTTTGACAAGCTGGGCTGTTAGGTTTTCTCACAGAGAACAAACATAATGCACACAGGCAGATAAACAAGGTTCTGTTATTCACTTCTCTCATGGCAGTGCCTTTTACTGGTGAACAACTTTCTAAGAAATTAATATATGTTTATGCATTTGCTTAGCCAAGTAGCTTTAATGTGGTCCCTGGTTTAGTCATAAACCACATGTTATACCAATATCTAAAAACACTGTAGAATATCTAAAATCACAGTAGAAGACATGAAAATAAAATGTTGACAGAGTCAAAAGCTTAAGCAAAGTAGCCAGAGTTAAAATACAAAAGGATCACTCCTGTTAACCTTTGAGGACAGCATTCTTGAAGAAGTGATAGAATTTGTTGCCTGAAGTCTCCCAATTGAATAAGACATTGTTACATCATACTACTCCATACCATAGATAAAAATATGTATCTAGCAACTCTTCTTAAATATAGAACCATAGAATTTTAGATTTGGCTTGGAAGGGACTTTAAAGGTCATCGAGTTCCAAGTGTCCTGCCATGGGCAGCGATGCCATTCACTAGATCAGGTTGCTTAGGGCACCATCCAGCCAGGCCTTCAAAAACTAGCAGGGATGGGGCATCCACAGCTTCTCTGGGCAGTCTGTTCCATGTCTCGCCACCCTCTGATGTTTAAATCTGCCCTCTTTCAGTTTAAAACCATTGCCCTTTGTCCTGTCTGTATCTGCCCTTATAAAGTCCCTCTCCCTCACTTTTATAAGCCTCCTAATGGTACTGGAAGGCTGCAATAAGGTCTCCACAAAGTCTTCTGTTCTCCAGGCTGGACAATTCCAGCCTTCTCAGTCTGTCTTCATGAGAGAGGTGCTCCATCCCTCTGATCATCTTCATGGCTCTCCTCTGAATCTGCTCCAAAAATGTTGATGTCTGTCTTGTGCTGAGAATCGCAGACCTGGATGCAGTACTCTGGGTGGATAGAGTAAGGGCAGAGGAGAGGGGGATAATCTCCTCCCTCAAGCTGCTGGCCACACTTCTTTTGATGTAGACCAGGATACAATTTGCTCTCTGGGCTGCAAGTGCACACTGGTGCCTGATATCCAACTTTTCATCCTGAGAACCCTCAAGTCCTTCTCCTCAGGGCTGCTCTCAAGGACTCCTTCTCCCAGTCTGTCCTCGCATTGGGAATTGCCTCGATCCAGGTGCAGCTCTTGCACTTGCTGAACTTTGTAAGATTCTCATGGCCTCACTTCTCTGGTTTGTCCAGGTCCCCCTGGATGGCATCCCTTCCTTCTTTTGTGTCAGCTGCCCTGCTCAGCTTTGTGCCATCTGCAGATTTGCTGAGGGTGCCCTGGATCTCACTGCCCGTGTCATTAATAAAGATACTGAAGAGGGCCAGTCCCAAGAGAGAGCCCTGAGGAAAACCACTCATCACTGGCCTTCACCTGCACACAGAGGCATTGATCACCATTCTCTGGCTCCAGCCAGCCAGCCAATTCCTTATCCACTAAATAGTCCATCCATCAAATCTATGTCTCTCCAATTTGGATGTCTGGATAGATGACATCTGTTGGTCTTCTCTTGGTGACCTTTGCCATTATTCCATCACAGAAGACCACCATATTAGTCAAGTGTGATTTTCCATTAGTAAAACCATGATAGTTCCCTCAGATAACCTCCTTATCTTTTTTGTGCCTTAGCATATCACTAGGACCATCTGCTCCATGATCTTCCTAGGCACAAAGGTGAAGCTCACTGCTCTATAGTTTCCCAGTTCTTTCTTTCTCCCCCTTTAAAAATGTGGGCAGTATTCCCCTTTTTCCAGTCAGTGGGCACTTCACTTGACTGCCATAACTTTTCAAATGTGATGGAGAGTAGCTTGGCAACAACACAGAATTAAAGAATCATTGACTAGTTTGGGTTGAAAGGGAACTTAAAGATCATCTCATTCCCCCAACCCATCTGCTAGGGGCAGGAATATCTCCCATTAGACCAGGTTTCTCAGAGCTCCATCCAGCCTGGCCTTGAATATCAGCCAGTTCTCTCAGGACTCTGGGATGCGTGTTATCCAGTCCCATGGACTTGTGACTATTCAGCTTCATCAAGGGATCTCAAGCATATTTTTCCCTTGCAGTGGGAGGGTATTTACTTCCCTCCCCCCACCCAGAGAATCAGGTACTTCAGAGAACTGGGAAGCTTGACTCTAGTGAAGACCGAGGCAAAAGATCTCATTGAGTACCTCAGCCTCCTCTATATCAGTTATCACCAGTTCTTCATTCTTGTTTGCAGGGAAATACAAGGAGGTAGATTCTTCTTGGCCTTTTTTCCTAACCTATGTACTTACAGACTTCCTTTCGTGTTGTTTATCGTATTCCTTGCCAAGTCCCATTCCAGCTTAGCCTTGGCTTTCCTGACTCATGATATTAAACCATATTACTGTATTCTCCCTGAGTCACTGTCCCTGCTTCCACTGGTAGATGTTGCTTTCTTACTCCTTGATTTGAGGAGGTGACTTTAGCTCAGTCTCATGCCAGTTTCCAGCCCACCTTGTTTATTTCCTACCGCGTCTACTTTTCTATCCTATATTGGGATAGAGAGCTCTTGCATGCTAAGAAAAGTGGTCTCAAAGCCTTGTCAGCTCTGATCAGCACCTCAGTCCTTAAGGACAATTTCCCAGGGGATCTCATTCACTCCTTGAGCAGTTGAACGTTCTCTCTTGTGAAGTTCAGGAGTTTGTCTTTGCTCCTTGCCAGGATCATGCTCATCACGGTCACAAACTCAAATACAGCCAGGTTCACATGATTTAACTATCAGATTTTTGCTATCTGCTTTGGAATTCATTGCTACTGTACAAGCCTTCTTATAATGCACAATACTGACCTATATTTGTGCATCAAAGCAGGGAGGGTCTGACAGATGGCATGCTCTTCTGCACTGCCCATACATGACACTCAATTATTTCACATGAAAATCACCAGTCTGTAATGAAAAGCCATGCACCAAATATTTTTAATTTTCAAAGAAAAGGAAGCACAGGAGCTCTAGGGGAACTCAAGGTGCTACTTCTCTCTAAGACGGTAACAGGCAGCTAGTTGATGGGCAGGTGATGCCCTGTCTTTTGAATTGTGGTGCTCAGGACAAGTCAGGAAATTCTGCCCATCAGATATTATTTTCTGAATGTGTTGTTGCTGCCTCATGGTTCAGCTTATCTTCAGTTCAGTTGGCCACTCAGAAACGTGCTAGTTTTATGATCTTCACCACAGACAAGTCAGCCTCTATGTTTGTCTTTGTAATGCTGAAAGTTGTTGAACAATACCTGTCTGAGCAGCCCTGGAGAGGCCAAGCGATGTGCAGAGCCCACTCACCCAAGCCCTAGGGACAAAGCCAACATATAAAATTCTTCTTCCTTTCTTCTTCCCCCTCAAGAAACTGCGCCTAGAAAGTTCTAGAGTGTTAGTGTTGGTACCTGCATCTCTTTGTTCAATTATCATTATAAATTGTATTAAGGGCTTCAGAGCAGAGGCACTTGAATAAGATATAAAGGGCACTTGCACACCAGTTCCTAGGCTGGGACAGTCCAGAGCAAGTGATCCATGCTAGCTGCTCTTTGAGCTTCAATATGGCACTGTCTGCCACAATTTCTCATACCAATTGCTTTGAAAATTAATTGCTACCAGCCCTGGGGCAACAGGTCTTTCTTTATTTCCAGCCTTAATTTCCTGTTTCCAACCATGACAGCTGCCTTGCAGTCTCCAGCTGCACACTTCAGAGCAGAGCGCAGTTCTCAGCCTTGCAGCTCCCTTCTGGCTGCCCAGGCTGCTGTGGGATGGCCAGGCATGAAAATGCCAGCCCAGAAGGGATGTTAAAAAACTGTAAGCCCTACTTTAGTGTGGAAGTGGCCATCCTGTGCCCAGGGTTGTGACAGCTATGGACACAACTAGTCCACAAATGTCCTGAAGCAGTGGAAAAACACAGTCCTTAGGGATAGTCCCTAGGTTGCAATGGTCAAGGGGAGAATGGTGCTTCTGCAGCCCACTCTAGCCTTCAGCAATGCATCACTCTCAAGAGACAGAAATGCTCCTTCACCCACCGGCATCTCTGTCCCCTGGCTACATGCAGGTGTTTCTGTGGTGTTGTACTTGACCTATCCAGTTCCTGCTGGGGCTGGCTGAGGTCTGAGCAGATGTACACAGCACGTAGATGGACAGACCCAACCATTTTGCCCACCAGGCTGCACTCCTAGGGGGCAAAGGAGACCATGTTATGAAGAGCATGCTCATGCTCACCAGCACATTCATTTTCTATCTAGCACTATAGGCAGTGTAATCATGCATGTCATGATAAATTTCCTATTGATGATGAAATGCTTTGCTTTAAGGTTACAGGAAAGGTAGTTTTACTGTGTGTGAATAAAAAGACTGAGGAAATATATTAAAGTAACAGAAAATTTTTGTATTAATTTTTTTTTTAATACAAACCAAGCTACATTGATTCTTGGGAAAAGATATTCTGTACTCACTTGAAAGTAAATCAGGAAAAAAAAGCAAACATTCCAGTTTGTGGTATTCCCAGGTAAAATAAATCATGTTTATACCATTGAGGTTTGTTGATGAAAGTGATCATAGTAATTTCACAAACACTTGTCACTGCCTGTGGTAATTTGTAATTAAGTGTCTGTGGATGTCTGTCCAGGAGCCAAATGTCTTCATATGCATACAAGGAATGCTTAAACAAATGAACACTTTGGAAAGTCTGAGATGCCTTTGCACATTTTTTCTTTGAAAAGCTGTCTAGTGGTATGTCATCATATCTCAGAATGGGTTTTGGAGCAGAGTAGACTGCTCGTCTATTTCCACTGTGTGGTCTACACTTTTCATCTCATTACTACATCCTTAACTGCCACAAAACCTTTGCTATTCTAAAGCAACAGCCCTCACACATGTTTTTACCTGTTGTTTCATGACTCTTTGAAAATCGGTCCATTATTACTTTTTTTTCAACTTTCACAATGGTGCTTGATGCTTATTTCACATAAACAAGGGAGCACTTTTGGGTATTTTGTATATTCTCTTAACCTGGAAGCAGAGGTCACAGTTGTTGTCTTGGTGTGAAAGCTGAGAGAGCTGCCCTGCCACACACCTGTGGGAGAGCTTGTCATATGCCCATGTGATTTTCTTTTCCCACATGCAGAACAGAGATAAACAATATTTCTTCACTCTTCTGAAATGTTTTGAGTGCTACGAATGGCAGAGTTTATCAAGGACAAGTATTGATAATTAAATGGCCTGGGTGTTGCAGCAAACACAACTTGATACCAACTTACTGGCAGTTTGATGGCAGAAAAGAGAGTAGAGGGGTTCTCTCTGAATTTTGAGGCAAGTTCAGAATGAAAAGTTAGAGGGCAACCTGCATGCTATCACCTCCCCTTGTCTAAATTACACCTAACCTCTTGGTGCTCTTAGTTGACCAAAGACAGCTCCATGTGACGTGAGCTGGAACAGAAGGTCGTGTTTGCCACAAATATGCCCGGCCTCCACCTGCATAAAAAGCCGTAGTGTAACACTGTCCACAGCGTTGCACCCCACCTCTAACGTAGATCGCTTAGCCCTTTAGGAGCAGGAGACAGGGAAAAGGGGCACCGTAGTTTTCTTTGTCTGTTTGGCAATTAACCATTCACTGGCTTTTTTTGTTGTAACATGCACTTCCTCTCTTGTTTTCATTCAAGCTTTGTGCACCATGGAAATTAATGTGGAGAAAGACAAACAGACAGGAGAGACCAAGATTGTCTCTGCTTCACCTGTTGGCCCAGATGAGGCCCATCAAAGAGGATTCAAAGTCTATGATGATGGTTCCAAGGTAGTCTATGAGGTTCACTCTGGTGGCACAGTGGTAGAAAATGGAGTACATAAATTAAGCTCAAAGGACGTAGATGAACTTATGCAAAAAGCTGGACAATCAAGTGTAAAAGGAGGGTATGAAACAATGACTGTGTCAGACAAAAATGTGGTAGCCGATGGAAACCTTAGCCATATGAAGGAGCAAATGCTCTTCAAGGAGGCAAAGCTAGAGATGGTACACAAATCCAGCAAAGGACGTGCTGTGAACCGTCAGCCACAAGACAAACCCTGTGGTGGCGAAACCCCAGAGCCCAGTGCAGATCAGCCGGTGACAATGATATTTATGGGCTACCAGAACATCGATGATGAAGAGGAGACAAAGAAAGTTCTGGGCTATGATGAAACTATCAAGGCAGAGCTTGTGCTGATCGACGAAGATGATGAGAAGTCACTGCGGGAGAAGACAGTGACTGATGTTTCCACCATGGATGGGAACGCTGCAGAGCTGGTCTCTGGCAGGCCCCTGTCGGACACGACAGAGCCCTCCTCTCCCGAGGGGAAGGAAGAGAGCCTGCCCTTGGAAGCTGCCCCAGGTACACAAAAGAAAAAGCGCTGTCAATGCTGTATTGTCATGTGAACACCTCCTCCTTCCCTGCTCCAGGCAGCTCCTGCTCCATCACTTACCTAGACCTCACTGTACTTCTAACTGCAATACTGTGAACTGGAAGTGAATGCCTCCATTGCCTTGCAGTTGGGTTGCTTTTCTTTCTAGTTCTTCCAGAAGAGGAACGCATGGTTATTTTCCCATCAGACATACTATTTGGTGTTGGGGAGGGGCTGGGGGCTTTTGGCTTCTCTTTTTCTTTGTGTTGTTGGTGATGGTGTTTTGTTTTGTTTTGTTTTTTCCTTAGTACTACAGAGTGAGAGATTAATGAGAAATGGAACATATGTTTATTTGATTTATATATATATTTTTAATATATATAATGAAAACACTTTTTATGTTTTTTTCTTTAAGTATCTGGCAGGCTTGATCAGATTCCTAGGATTTTGTGGGAGTCTGAGTTTCACAGCCACCAGATATGAGAGCCTTAAAAAATGTTACTTCTCCTTTTTAAGAAAAATCACATTTAACATTATTTTATGTATCATATTTTTTATTTCTTGGGGAAGGCTCAGATCACTTTACTGTTTTGATTTGCTAAAAATCAGGCAAGCCTTTCCCAAAAAATTGCATCATTTTGTTTTTTAGTAACTTTCAAGTTTAGTTTGCAGTGTCAGAAAAGCCCATTAACCATTTCCGCTAATTGGTGATACCAGAAGTGGACCTTAATTATTCTTTCTAGAAAATGTATGAATGATCATTCTGCCTTATATAAATCTTCCAGATTACAGTATTGTAAATGCACTTCATCTCCCCAAATTACAGTTAAAATTGACATGAAAAAGATGCAGCTGTCACACCAACAGAAATGGACTCACTCATCAGAGTTACTTTCAGTAACTCTGCCAATGTTTATACATGAAATTTTCCTGCTGAACTCCAGTAGAAGAGGGATGCTGCTTTCTACTTCCCTAGAATATATGAACTTTTCTGACAGCCTGACCCTGTTCCTACTGGATTCAGTGGCAAAATTCTCAGCGCTGGGAATGGGGACAGGGCCAGAGTTTTCCTTTGTAGTTCTTACATAAGGGTAATTTCTCACAGAGTGTACCTCCAGGTAAAACTCCCGTGGAGGCCCACTGGAGTTTTGTCAGAGCAGCTGTTTTGGGAGATCCTGTAGCCACAAGACAAATATTTTCAAAAACTGATGGTGTTTTGGATGCTTCATTTTCTAACATGGGGCACTAAAAGATGCCTGATTTCCAGTGCATTTTTCTTCATCTGACCTCTGAAAATCAGGCCTCTTAAAAAACAACTAAAGATGAAAATGTAAAAATGTGAAGGCATCCAAAATCAATAGGTCTTTCTTTTTTTTCTTGTTCCTTGATTCTTCTAAATGAGAAAGCAGCTAGCTTTTTCATGGTGAGTTATTATGAACCTGATTCTTGTATCACACCAGTTTGGCTTAAGTTTAACTTCCCTCAGTGTAGTGGAGTTATTCTGGAATTATAACTACATGAGTGAGATTAAAAATCAGGTTTTACATTTTCTGATAGTGTGAACAAGTGCTGAAGATTATTTTGAAGTGTCTTTGAAACTATCAGACTTTAAAAATCAATAACAGCAACTGAAAAAAATAGTAAAAAAAAAAAGGAAAAAAAAAAGAAAACAACAAAAGCCTCTTTTCAGTCTGAGGTGGTTCTTATGATATTGCTCTTCTTTCTTGGATGGTGCTTTTACTGCATTAATTGTTAGTCCAGAGCATCTGATTGAGCACAGTTCTTGCTCTGTACTCTTTTCTTTCTGTGCCAGTAAAAAAAGACACTTATTCAGTGGTGGTAATATGAGGCACACTGAAAACCTACACATACAAAAAAGCAGAAGGTAATTCCCATGTTAGGTCACTCAGCTGTCACTATGGAACTGGTCAATGAAACTTCTCACCACTGCCCAGGTGACTGTCAGACAAAAAAAACCCCAAACAAGTAGTAAAAAAGCAAGCATAATGAAAGACAGTCTTACCTCTTTGACACCTGCAGAAATTTTGCTGACCTCCATATCAGCTGGAGTGGCAGAAATGAATAAACTTCCACATGCTCCCTTTGCCTCCCCTGGGGGCTTTTGTTTGGGAGAAGGACCAAACTCACCCAGAGAAGCTCTGCACATCATTCTTTGACTCAGGCTTAGGTGGTTAAGTTTTATCACAGGGTGGAAGGGCCACAGAGCCTCATATTGCAACAAAAGGTCTGGTGGCTGTTAAAAACTAGCAGCCTATGTGTGGTTTTGGCTGAGTTCTGTGGGGTTTAGGGGTTTTTTTGGTTGGTGGTGGTGGTGGTTGGGTGTTTTGTTTTTTTTCCGTTACTCTCTTTTCCCAGAAATGCTAAACATTTACAATTCTAAACATTTCTTAAAACAAGACCCTAAGTTTTGATCGCAATATGGCAGGTGAGGCTGTCCCCAGGCATGTTTAGGAGCCCTGCAACACAAAGGGTGAAGCCCTTTCTGTCTTGCATGTACCTGTGGATGATGTGGGAGCCTGGCACACTTTGCAATAGTTCTGTCGCTCTGGGGCCTGCTCACCTCACCAGTAATACTCGGAAACAGATCTCCCAGCCAACTCCTCCTGGCCTGGCCAGTCATCTTGTTGCTCACCACCTCTTCCCCTCTGGGTGTGATGCCACCTTCACGGCCATCCTGGCCTCATGATGTCTTCACAGCCTAATCTTTTTGCCCCTCTACTCCTGTCCTCATATGAAATTTTTTTTTCAAAACCTCCTGCTTGGGAAATTTAGGGTATCATGCTAATCTAACCCATTCTGTCCCTGCATCTCTTGAGCCATGTGCTCCCCTGTCAGATGACCTTCTGGTTCAGCACCAACTCAGCATTTTGGGGATGACTCCCTTAGCAGCCAGCTTTGGGAGATGTTTGCTGATGCTGGGACCAGAACATGTCTGAGACCACTGCACCATCTGAGGCACAGCACGGTGGGGAGATGGTGGCACACCATCCAGAAGTCCAGAAGTGGCCCTTTAGTGGTTAGAAGTAGAGCACAAGCCTTAAACCTTAAACCTCTCAAATACCTACTGCTCAGTACTTGTAGCTAACATTGAGTGCCTAGGAAGGCCAGTCATTTTTATGTGTTCACATTAACTCCATGGTTAACAGGCCCCAGTAGGTCCAGGAAAGCTAAAGGTTCACCTGCATAGGGTTGGTCTTTACAGGTCAAAGGCAGTTCCCCATCTGAGGTCAGGAAAAGCATGAAATAGGAGCTAATGGGTCTGAAATTGCAGGGCCTTAGCTGAAACACACTTACTCCAATCATCCTCCTCCACAAGGGCAGCAGCCATGCCTGGACATTGCCTTGTCCCTTCTGGCCACTGGCGTGCAGCCAAGTTACAGCAGAATTCAGATGCATTAGACCAGGCTGATGAATGTAAACTGGTTTTCCAGGGATTGTTTGGGCTTTGAAAGGGTTGGTTTTCCCCTTACCCTTGGATAGGAGGCTGCCTGTGAAAATCCATGCACAATCAGGCACAAGGAAAGCGGCCTGCTCTGTGGTCAAGCAGAGAGAGATTTTTGTAAGCATCATTATGGGATGGGTTTTTTTGTATTATTTTAAGCAAAATCCCTGTCTGTTTAACTTATATCATCACATGTATATTTTCAGTTTCAGCATGAGGGGATATGAAAAAGTAGAGTCAGACACTGGTTCAGTAATAGCATTTTGCCACAACAAACTGCTCGCCTTAACTTTTGTAAGAAAAACAAAGAAAAACCTCTTTTCAGTGTATTTTTTCCTAGACTGGGAAAAAAGTAACCTAGGAAACTTTTTTATATTTTGTATTTTCTAAGTTTCTATAAACCCACTCTCCATGTCGTCCCTTGTTTGCATTCAGGGACCATTTCTTTTGCAAACCACTGCATTTTACTTCTATTCTTTCTTCCTTTTTTTTTTTTTTAACAGAAAAAAATACAAATCAAAAACCACAGCATTATGATTAGTGGCTAGGCAATCTCTTTCAATTACTAGATTATCAATACAGAAAGAAAAGAATTACAGGGTTGTTTTCTTTTTTTAATTTCTTGTGGCTGATGTACTGTATGGTATATGTTTACAGAAATCCTCTGGTCTGCCTTTGTGATGTTATCTAAATGAATGACAAAGTAGGTATGATGTGCCATTTGACAGTTTGCCTTAGCACTCTTGGGTTTCCTTCTTCTTTTTTGTATCTTTTATTTCTTTATTTTTTCTTTCCAAAAAGTGCAGGTTGTATTCCAAAGCTGTATAAACACAACATTATCTTTCAATCCCCAGCAAGAGAAGTGTGCATAAGCTGTTCTCTGAGAAGTGTACCTCTACCAGTGCAGTATGAGACTTCAGTCATGCAAACAAAAACGTGCATGCCTAATTCTGCTGTGTGTAGACCTGTTTCAGTCAACAGGACTCCTCACAGGAAGAACATTGTAGGAGTCTGCAAGATCAGGGCATGAATGATCGACGCAGAGCATAGTTTGGGTGTTCCTTATGTACCTATACAGATTTTATACAGTGCTGAGTTTGCCCAAGGTGGTGTAAGCAGAGAGGCTAACTCCAAGCATTGTACCTCTACTGAGAAAAATACAAAACAAAATAGTGCTTAGCATCCAGTAGGATCAAGTCCTGAGCATTGCTACCATCCATGAGCAAACATTCAGAGGGGCTTCCCTGATGGCCAATGTATTCATCCCCTGCCATTTTACCTAAGTTCACTACTGATTCTTCACACTCAAATTATTAAGATTCCACAAACTAATCTGAGCAAAAAGATAGCATAGAGAGTTGCCAGAGAAATAAAAGGTGTTCTACCTTTTAATTTAGTCAAACATCCAAATGGCATACTTAGAAAGTAAGCGGGGATATAATAGAAAATGTAGTATTATACATTTGTGTATTTTTTTAAGGAATAAATATTTTTGTAATGAGATACAAACCCTAGATGGGTACTGAG